CGTGCCACAGCTTTAGAATTGGCTTGGCGAATATGCGCAGTTGCGAATGTGGGGTCCAACGATGCACCGAAGATGCTGCTGCCGAGACCCCGTATTACTCTAACGTACTTACTCGCGGTTTCCATGGCACATTTTGGATCCCTTTCATCGCCTGTCTATGATAAGAACAGAAATGGAGAGGAGGGATAAAAGGGGGTTTTTATTGTAAAGTCGGTTTGTTCAATAGCCTTTGTTCACCCTTTCCTCGTTTCCACTTCCAGAAGAGCAGGGGGTGCAAAGAGAAGAAACAGCGTGAAAACAGGAAAAACAGTCGCTACAGTTATTGTGCAAAAGTATTGCAATAGGAAATCAGTGGATCATTAGGAAACGGTACATAATTAAGGATAATTTAGTTTATTATTCCACCTCTGGGGCTTCCCTTTTGTTGAAGTTGTGGAATTTGCTAGCGAACGGTAGTGGGCCGCGGCAGATCACGGAGCCTCCCAAAATTTCGGAGGTAGCGGTTCCCCCTGTACCGGTGCCACCGCGACCCACGAAGAAGCCCCCCCATCACGCCCCCCTACCTCCACTAGAGCGCGCGGAGGACCGGGGATATAATACATAGAGATGAGAGACACCAAGTAATCTGTTCAAGGATCCGGATGGTTTCATCATGTTTTACTTATACCCCTGTCTTTACCATTAGATTAGAGAAACGCCGAACTGGAGAAGGAAGTTTTCGACGATACTTTCCTGCTGCTTCTACGTACCCGCCCTACCCCAATCTAACCTGCTCAGTAAACTACCACAATACCTTACCCTCACCCAGATACCCCAAAAACTTTTCCTTGCATCTCTCTTATTCCCTTTTCCTATTGGTGGCGCTTGTGGCAAGGGAAGTCCTAGGCTAGGAACGTACATCCTGCAGCGAACGCCTGCTTTAATAAATCCTCCTACAGCCATAAACCCGGATCCCCTTTCCACTTTTTTCCCTCATCTCTCTCTTGCAGGGTAAATCTAGAGTTACCAGCACATCCAGGACCACTATGGGTTCGTAAACAACAAACATCGTTAATCAGTCAACTTATTGCCGAATAGAACACGGGTTCCGGAGCACAGGAAGAGGTTTGGGATGCTCAAAATATTGAGGAGGAACTAGGGCGATTGAGTGATTGAGTGAAGCAATGCTATGCTTTCCGGGGAGGGGGCAATGGGTGGAGAGTCAGAAAAGTTTACTGATTGCGATCGCTCTTTATATTTAATCCCACTCTCTCATCCCTTTCTTTATCTACACTCTGGGCACGATATATTGCCCCCCGGTGATCCCCCACCTCCGCTCTACCCTCCACACGAACTCAGCCTCCTAGTATCTAGATAGAACTATAGTGCGGTTAGCCTCTAGTCAAATTAATTCTAGGAATTACTAGAATGCACACAAGATGAACTGTCATTCTATCCAGGAGGGGTGAAAACCGATTGTTGCTCCATAGCCTACAACACCGCAACCTAAGCTATGAGACCGTCACCGTCAAGAAGGCAGCCTCTAGCCTTGGTGGGATACGGACAGAGATACGTGCATTACCTGCACGCGAGAGCAGCACCATCACCCCGCAGCTTGGGATATTCCTACCGGGGAACGAATATTCTGAGTAGAAGCAGTTGGGTGGAGGATCACTAGACCCCCTCATAACCCGCCTCAATTTACTCAGGGTTGCTAGACATTTAAGCACGGTGAAGCGGGTCGGGTGGCCCCCCACAATAGCCCTGGGCCAGCCGGCTAAGGGGAGGAACAAATCGGTGATAGTGATCTAGAGATATCGCGTGATGGCTTGTGACTACAAGGATGTCGGAAAGCAAGATGGTATGTAAGCAGCGGCAGGAGGAGGATTCTGGGTTGGATCGGTGTCATGGAAATATCAGATCCGAGACGTATAGGTGTGTTAGGGAGCTAAGACGACCGGAAAGGTTGGGGGGATTAGCGGAGGTGCGACTAACCCAGCCGGTGAAGCCAGGCCAAGGGTTAGGGCGGATATTTCCGATATCAAAAGCTTCTCTAGCAGCGGCTAAAATGGTTCCCCATATCTAAAATTATCCATCGTAACTGCTAGAAATAACAGCTTTATAAAAGTCTCACAAATCACAGTCACGACTTCGCCCCTGGTGTTCGTTTAACCTTCAAGCTCTATTAGCACAATCTCTCGCTCATCCTAGAGATCTAGATAGACTTTGCAACGCACTCTGATTCCCCCCTGAATAGGTTTTGGAAGAATTGGTCCTAATCTGTAGCAACTTCCCTCGAAATCTCAATCCATTCTACCCCTTAGATTAGCGATTGGAGCTCTTTTCAGTTTAGGATTTTCCCATTTCCCCCTGGAAGTGGTTATACACTCCATGCAATAAAATTGAATGTAAGGTGCTGGACCCGCTATGTGGCGCTCTGTATTTACAAAACACCTTTCAAAAATATTGTATGCTGTGCAAAAATAGTGATAGCTCAACACGTAGCGCACTGGACAGGGTGCAATAAAACCACAAACTCGTACTTCGAACACTGGCACAGTCCCAACCACCTTGACTACCGGTAAAGCTTATCACCTTACTAACGAGATGAAGAAAGGCCATGAAGGAAAGAGTATAGAGCGTAGCAATCCATGATCTGCGACCCTATCCATGGTCCAAATACGGGGGGGAAATGGCACAATCAGGCAAGAACATCAATCCACTAGCCTTCGAGCGGGAAAACCCGAGCGAGTGAGAACCCGTGACTGACACATCAAGCTCCTCACCCCAACCGAGTCGTTGTAAGCAGAAGGGGCATTTAAAAAGAGTGCCCCAAATTTTTTTCCAAAGCCTCCTGCTGGGCGAAGCCCATGGCAGGGGAAAGTGGGTACTCTTTTGTCTATTTAGTAGTCACCCTTTAGTATTTTTTAGTAAATCCCTTATAGTCGTCCTCGTATATCAAACTTTTTAACCAAGACCCTGCCTAGTCGAATCCTATACCTGGTAGGTTGAGTGCGTTTCGTCGCCTTGTGACATTCTTCTATGCAAGACATAACACTATAGAGACGACAACTAACAGCAAGGGGGGGTAGCAAGAGGTGATGTGCCTTGCAACAGAGACTTTTCACAGATCCCCCTATCCGCTATTAGCCCATCCCCTATCTTACCTACCTATACTATGCAAGCAGGGAGCTCTTAGTCCCCCTCTATCTAAACATATAGATATGAAAAAGAGGAGGAAAAAACGAGGCCCTCTTTATGATGCCATAGAGATAACGTCTTGGAATTTTATGGCATATTTATCGTAAAGAAATTTAAATACAAAATTAGGATCTAGCGATTTTTTGGTCACAGTCTGCATTACTCCAAGTGGAATTTGTCTTTGCCACCACCAGGATTAAGGCAATTGCTATGCGGACACGGGGTGGTTTTTCCACCTGCACCCCGCCCAGCGGGATCCGAGACCAAGGAGAAAATTGATTTCTCAAGAAAAACCAAGGTCCTTTATATTATACCCATGCCAAACGGGGGTCGAAATCTCTCTCCCACCCTATTTCACGGCGGGGCATCGTATGATATCATAACTCCTAGGGGAAGACCGTAGATTGTATTCCGTAGTGTATTGTCATCCGCAAAAAGAAGAGAAGAAAAAAGTGCACCCTGTCTGAGCCATCTGATAAGGTCTCTGCCTTATTCCTACAACATAACGTTGCACTTCCTTCCTTACAAATGATACTTGCTAAGAGCAGACCCCTGTCATCCGCCAAAAACGAGGCGATCCTGGAAAGGCGGACCAAACATAACCGGGAAGAGGGCTAACGTAAGCCAACGCCCACGGGAGCAAGCCAACACCCGGGGCCCCAAGAGGGTCCTACCGGCAACGCAGCGTCCCCCGCCAAGCGAGTGTAAAAAAGGCCAACGAGGGCCGGTTCTTGGCACACTATGCGGCACCATACCCATTGAGAAGGATATGGGGAGGTGAGAAACATGGGATAACCACCGGCAGTCCAGTGACCCGGGTCTATCCCTCGGACCGCCAAGACAATGAAAATTTTGCCCCGCCGCCCGGTCCCCGGGGCACATAAGACTAAGGAGGGGTTTCCACTCCGTCTCGCTATTCCAGAATGATTATCAGCGTACGATATGTGCGGTCACACAACCAATATTAGCCAAGCTCTAAAGTGAACACATCCTCGGAATTTCGGTCATTGACATAAAATTGCTTATGAATCACAGTCTCAACCACTAACTGCTGCGGCAAATGATTTTCAATTTTAGTCCCGTCGGTCCAGGGGACAGTCTGTCCCAGTGCAAAGGGACCCAGCAATCTTCCTCGCTCACCCGGGTCGTGCAATCCGGTAGATTCCCACGAAAGTTAGTATGAACAAGGATTTTCATCCGCTGTCAAGACCCCCCTGCCACCTTATCCTTTCCCCGCAGTCATAACCCGCTATCTCGATCATTGTCGGCTAATGCGCGACTGCTGGGATCCTGAGATCATCACAGGGTTCTCGACGCCAGCCTAGGTACAATGTTACCGGAACATGTACTCGTGTCACACATACCGGCCTAAGGGGAGTGATGGTTTGTGATGCATATATGGTCTTGCACGTCAGCTATGGTAAGCATTGACCACTGGTATATATGTATGGTGACTTGGTCAGGTACTATACGGATTACGCAGTATAACTCTGCTTCTACCAGCTACCCCTCGCCAAAGAACCACCCAGAATTTCATGTTGATGGCTCAGGGGGATGCAATAGATTGAGTATTTTCTGCACCTTGGGATATCGTCTGGAAGGGGCGATCTAACATTCACCGGTTATGTTTTAATCAAATTTTTAATTGCTAAAAACAAAGATCAACATCTAGGGATCAGTTCATTCATCCATATTTCCAGAAAAAGAACCCATCCCCTAATAAAACGACCGAATTCCAATAAATCTGATCCCAAATCCTCCAAAATCCGACCCTCCCCCCAGCCGCACTGCTGTGCCATCAGACATCCCCTTAGCCCGATCTAAACTACAGCGAGGATGGAAACCCCAGCAGAGTAGAAGACGGAATTGGACCAGCTATCCATGTGCCAAGTTAGGCCGGTCTGAGTGACATCCGTGGCCCCGACTCTGATGCGAATGTTTGCTTCGCAGCCGAAATCGAGCGAATTAATGGCCATGAAGACGTTCGGAGTCTTCCAGAACGTGCGCCCGCCAAGATCGATCTTCTTGCTGTTCTTGAGTTGGATTTTGTCCGAGGGGCGAATGTCCTGGGTATTGGCGGTTCCACTGAAGACGTACGGACGGTCCTCCGGATAGGCTATCCAGCTTGCGATAGCCGAGTAGAGGATGGAATCGTCCCAAGAATTGATGTGGATGGTGAAGCCATTGGCATCGATATCTGATGCCTTGGTGAGTACGCGCCAGTTTTTCTTCCTGTCCATGTCGAGTTCCTTGAAGAAGACGGACACCTTCGGCGGGGTGATGAAGGGGTGGCTAAAGTCGATGCAGCGTGAGGTCTCCAACTAGGGTTTATCCCAAGGATGGTCATCCGTAGTAGAGAATTCCCCGGCCTGGTATTCCAAATACGCTGGAGCTAGTTCGAGCCAGCTAGCGCCGCCGGAGCAGAGTGTAGTGGCGTTCCAGGTATTGAGATGGCCCTTGAGTGATTCTTTCGTAATGTCGGTAGCGGTGGCAGTAACACTAATGTTGGCTTCCTTGCCGATATCAAGGGAGTGGAGTCCGAGAGGGAGTCTGGGAGGGGCGACAAAGGGCGCCGCAAAAGCTAGGAGCTTTGACGTCTCCGCCTGGGGCTTGTTCGATGGATGGACGGACGTCTTGAGTATTCCAAGACCCAGTATGATAGTAGCCATGGCGAACAAAGTAGAACTGAGTCTTCGAAAGATCTTCGGGTCTGGGGTTTCTGAGTAAGGAACTTTTGTGGGGAGAGGTGATCAGTCAGCAAGCAGAGTATTTATAGGGCAGGCCCTCACACTTTCCGAATCGGACATACAGACCATACCAGAACCTTCGCAGCTGAGCCCATGTTGAATGGAAGACTGATAGCTGACGCTTAGTGGTGTAGTTGTCTAAGCATGAGCCACGGGGACGGAATAGGCCTCAAGCATGGGATCAATATCATCCGGGAGCCCCTTCCAGGCGAGATATCGCTTAGTGTATCTCGTCGGGAAGTGAGCCCCCCTCTATTTACCGGCGTGGGCTCAAGAAAGCGATAGTAGTATAATCCCACCGCGGGACAAAGACAGACATGCAGGAGCATGTAGATGTATAGGCGGCTGTGCGATGGGTTTAGTATAGAGGCATGTCTGAGTGCAAGGGAATGAGTTGTCTGTATGGGTTATACCCCAGTTGCGGTGGGGTTTAGGGGTTATACCCCGGCAGCGGTGTTTTCTATATATTCGGGTCATTAGTTCGCTGTTTGTCTAAACAACGAACACCTTCTTTCCTCTCCTCCGATACACTACACGAACGAGCAAGTCTTTCTACCACCACAAGTAATTACCCATGTGCGAACCACATGGGGTGCGAGCATTGTAACTCCGGGTCTTGTATCTTGAGAAGAAGTATTATTAAAAGCACATTTAGTGTGACTGTGTGTTTTTAATTTAAAACTGACCTGAGATAATACGGGGAAAGACTAAGTTCAATTATAAGCATGTTCATAATTACGGAGGCGGGAAAATCAATGCTTCAGGGTATCAGGGGTAAGTGGGGATAGTTACATTGCCCCGTGCTCCGGACCCAGTTTCCGTTCTTTTGTCTGTCCGTTGCCATGTCCGTTGTTATGCGCACCCATTATGATAGGTTGTATCAGAAAGCAGACCCATCCTCATAGGAACAGTGCTCTCTACCACATGTTTAGGAGAATGAGATGCAAATTCCCGAGTGACCGCAGCGGTACTATATTTTATACCTATGCATTTCCGGACACGCTTGTATCCGGTGTACGTTACTCAATTGATTTCAACTCCCCGAGGACGAAACCGTACATTCAGGGGTGTTTTTCGGCTGGCTATACGGCAGTTAGAATCAGCTCTCCGTCTCCGCACTACTCTATCATCTTCCCACTATAAACCGCGAGACTGCCTACCCTTGGTTTATTAGTTGCAGGAGCGACCGGATAGCCCTGTCTCATATAGTTATGTACTCAGGTTTCGAGATTGGGTTTGGGGTTTCCTAGCAACTTACAACTGGAGAAGCACAGCTCCAATCGGCCGGCTAGAGCCAAGCCGGGTGAGCAATCACTGAATAGTAACCGCTACATAGCTGGGAAACCGAGCCTCTGCAAGACGCGGGAAAGAACACAGGACTAAATGGACTTATACATATCCTTATAAATTCGTCCTCCCACACCGTCAGTCCGGGCTCTCCCTTTTAGAGATGTTTATGCTTACTCTAAGGTGTTCACAGGTGTTAGTCCTTCCTATATGCAACGGACTTCTGCCACGAATTTACTGTCTACTGCGCAGTACCCGCCTACAAAGCTGAATGCTTCTCTTAGCGCCTGCCGCTTCCCGACGGCACTTGACTTCACGCCTAGCTGAATTTGGCGGTACGCAGTAGCGCTCGTGCTCACGAACATAGCTCAATCCCGAATACCCCCCCGAGTTGGGCTGCGACCCCTTCCACAAACCACGCAGGGACCCAAAGCAATCAGGGACAAAATAATAGTTCACTTGCACGTTGTACAAATAAAGTTTCAGTAACAATGGTACACATGAGCCACATGACCTTGATGGGATCTATTTCCTCTTGCCCCGTGAGTTTCAAAGAGATATCATTAAAGAATGAGGTACCTACCCTCTATTTCAATATATCTATCACCAAGAGAATTCTTTCCGGGCTGTTGTTGCTCGTTGGAAGGGTTTTATTCCAGACAAGCTGGTTAATACTTACCGCTATCTATCCTGACCCGTGCACCAGGAGAAGCGAAATCCTGTGGATTACGTGGCAATTAGATATCCAAATATCTCAGCCGGAGGAGCCCCGGCGCTTGACCAGCACGGGGGAGATGCCCCAGCGCAGGTGGGTGCTGCAACGAGTACTAGGATATATCGGTCGGTAGTTGCTAAAGACGGGTTAGGTAATTATATATACCATATTACAGGTATCCTGAATGAGAGAAACGCACGGAGAGGCCATATTAAGGCTTAGGTATCCCCTTACGGCGGCTGAGCGCCTCTGATCGACGATATTTGTCAAACGAGAAAGGGCTTAAGCTTTAGTTCAAGTAAAGTGAGGGCCGGAGCACTATACTACGTTGCCGGCACAGTATTTGTATCCACTTACTCAGGATCCTTGTATCGTAAACCGCATGCCAGAAATGTGCTCGAGTACAGTGCAGAACGACAGTCAGACCGTAGACCATTAGGTAGACCATTAAGGAATCAGGAGGATAAAAAAGGGACATGAAGTCCCGCCAGAGAGGCTACTCAATAGGTTGGAGAAGCTCACGACCGCCCCATGGACCCATAATACGGTACAGTAATGGGCGCTCGAGTCCTGAAACCCAAATTTACAGAGGGCCATGCACTAAGCTCGATAGGTCTTGAATCTGTCCCGATACTCGCGAAACTAACCGGAGACTTTGGACCGATAGAACAGGACACCTTCCCAAAATATTTGACGACGACACTCTAGCAACCCCGGGAAAAGGCGAAGCCAGAAAAAATCTTTTCCGACAGGAGTTAGTTCGCACAGCACCCATAGAAACTTGAATAATTGAACGGAGCGCTACCGGTGTGTCGTTGGACTATCCTCTCTGAGTATGGTCAAGAAAAGCAAAAGAAAAAAAAACCTCTCTCAGAAGCGGGAAAGGGGCTTCGTCTCTGGTGTGTTCTTGCCCCCTTTCCGGAGAGGGCAATTCTGGACCTCATAGCACAAGGTTCAATTATTCAAGTTTCTACGGTAATTTACATCTAATATAACCATCGGAATTCAGGATATTTTTCTTCCGAATCTCAGCAGGACGCCACCGGTTACGACACCACCAGGACGTTGGACAGGATCCAAACACCATCTACGGTACTAGGCCTCGAGTATCTCTCTTCCTATCCCCGCCCCCCCTTTAATTTAATTTTTCCGATCCTTCATTGTTACGGGGGGGCTGCCGGTCTTGAATAATATCGGCAGGGGTTGAAACCATGTTAAGGTTCTGACAGCCCCACACGTTGATTGGGTGTGCCCAGTTGCCAATCGCTAAGGAAGTCTGAAACGTAGACTACGACAGGAAAGAATTCGGACCTCACTTGGAGTAAAGTTATGTGCCCTGTAAGTAGCAGAGAAATAAAATCAGCGCCTGCCAGCACTCTAAGCTAACTTGAATGTCTACTATCGTAATATTATTTTTCATAGAGGAAGATGGCAGGATCTTCTTGTGCTGCTCTGGTTTACGTAATAATTCTAAATCATGCCCCTGCCCACATTCTCCACCGTATCATATATGCTCGAGTACAGTACGGTACTCGTACTTTCACTCTGTCAGAAAAGAAGCACCTTGTGACCCAAACACCCTGCTATCCCCTCCCGTTCCCGGCTACGTACCCCTCCCTCCCCCGTCCGGTGGGATCGGAGACGGCGGGGAGGATAAGGAAAACCCGGAGAACAACGGCGAAGCTACTAAACTGGCCCTGCAAGGTTGAAGGATGGTATTGCCGAGCACAGGGCGAGTCAGGTAAAATTATGCCCAAGCCTCAATAATATCATGGCCCTTTCCCGTGTTTCTCTCCAGTCGGAGATAATACCGTGCTCGGTTAAATGAAAGAAGAAAAAACGGAAGGCCTGCGGTACGATGGCAAAAGTGGGGAATGTGGTGATCAAAAAATAGACTTCGTGGAAAGAAACACAGGGTTGTAGGAATTAGAAACCCAGACCGGCTGTGTTGGTGCTCAATTCTCCCTGAAACACGAGACCCGGAAGGGCCTGTGGGCTTTTAGCAATCTCTATCAAGCGGATTTGTGCTGAGGCTAATTCTTAATTATTGCCATAGGGTTTCATGTTATCGGTGAGACAATGGGTTTGCCCTCCACACCTAGTTGCTTGGTCTATGAGAGCTCAGTATTTTCCATTTGTGCTGACCTTCTGCTCACTCCAGGTATCATACCCCACAGGATCTTGGTGATCTTTTTTTCCCACCCGATTCCCTCACTATATTGCAGAGGAATACGGGAAGGGCCCATACCACTGATTGCACTCGAGTACTGTACTCTAGGGTAACCATGAGCTGTGCTCACCCCCAGAAAGCGACAGAAGTTCCAGCTCCAATTGGTAGTAGCTGGAGAGGAGAGATGGTAGTACGAGTTAGAGAAAAGAATACCTGCTGTGCTCGGCGATGCGAGTGAGATCCCAGTCAAGGAAGCACGCTGAACGGGAGAAAATGATCGACAATGGATGGAGAATCTAGCTAAGGCCAGACAAGGGGTTACTCACAGTCTATGTATACCGGCATCTCCAAAAAGCTACAGGTAACACCGGAAACTAATTACTTGCAGCTCCTTTCCGCCAACATTCCGGGCCCGCTCTCTACCCCCCTATCTGGGAAGGTGTGAATGGGGTAAGCACGTTAGACGCACAAACAAAAATGTTCACGATCCTACCCGGCACACTGAACTTGGAGCTCCACAAGTGTGCTGGTATTTCCCTCTTCGTGGGATAAAACACCTTGGCTGGAATCCCATTGCTATCATTCAAACTCACCGGCATGAACACCGCCCTACACTCTTGTCTATTTGCCCGGGTCGAAAAATATTCGACCCGCCAAATATGCGTGCAAGTATCATACCATTGCTAAGCGCGCAGACAAGCGCCATTTCCAATAACCAAAAGCGCAAGCAAGTCGAGCCCTCGAGTAGGTGGTTTCAGTAATATGGTATGACGTCCATACCCGGGTACTGGTGGATTTCGAAAGTATCCGGACACTTTGGGCCAAGGCAGACGACAAGGATGCCAAGATGTCCGAATACTTTTGAAATCAGCTAGTACTGGTACTCCAGGCTTTTCCCGTTTTTGTTTTGCCAGTAGTACACGAACCTAACCGTATCGGTAATACAAATACCGGTAGTTTCAGTTCAGCTACAGTCCATACCGGTAGCTTGTTTCTAAGTGCCTCCTGCGATCACGGATTGTACTACTAGTAGTGCTCGAGCACTGTACGAATATACCGGTATCATTCTACAAGTACAGTAGCACAGTACGGTACATCACTGAAGAGTTTGCTGAATTCAGTACTGTACTGATCCAATCGCCCACCCTAGCTCCGATTTGTCCGATGATCGCCATCCACCCCGGGCGCGCGACTTCACCTCGGCCACGCGAGTACCGGTACGGCATAATATGATACCTGCGCTCCTACGCGCCGGGTGTGTATCAATCCCTTCCACCCAGCCATGGTTCTTTGTCCCAATTCCGTACTCGAATGCAGGTATTCTGAACGCGCTACATCGCCCGGCGGTGAGCAACGGCGATTTCTAACACCAGTATTCTTCGTCCGGTAACCTCTGCTTCATCCTCCTCGTCCCTCCGGCCTCCAAAATAGCCTTTTGCCTTCAACCCCTCCCGCTGCAACTCTTGGACTGTACAGTAAGTCCAACACTCCTGGCTCTCTTCTGAGTCTCCTCCTTACAAGCTGCTTACTGAGTATTGCCATACGTAATTAGTAACACAGTTGGACCCTCAGCAAGATCGCCTCGATAATCCCCACCAACCAGCCCGCGAAAGTTTTGTAGGAAACAAGCTCGTTGTGGATTGGCACAACTCCGATATTGTCTCTAATTTGTTTTACAATTTGTTTTACACTTCGGTCTGACCTATGCCTCTTTGATATAGAAACGTCGATTAACCAACGAAATTCACACCGTCCTCTAACCCGAAGGCACTGGCCCTGGTATCTCCGGCCTCATCAGTTTATCAGCAGGACCGCAAGCCTGGTGAACAGGGTCCGGATGTGTATAGACTAATCAGGTTGGAGAACCAGGATCTCTACCAGAGGCACCGCTCAACCCTCGTCGCACTGAAGACGGGAGTGCACCCAGGAATCTGAGGCTCGCCGCCAGGAGGCCCTTACTCTCGCCGGACACGATCCGGAGGAACCTCAGATCAGGCTATCCGTCATCCGCCACAAACCGCGCACAGAGAATGTATAACCGCGAATGGGCCTGGGATGGCTCATCTTTTCCGATCCAGCAACAAGCTTTCTGCGCATTGATGGAAAAGGAACTAGTGTTGTTTACATTATTATCGCAGAGCTTGTCTTTGCTGCCCGAATCACCAAAACCAAAGATCTCCTGCCTACTCAAATAATAAACTTCAACAAAATCTTTCAATACCCCACCAACAAAGGCTTTCATCCTGCTGTTCATAACAACCACACTTTGATTAATGGAAAAATAGGGCCATTGATTGGCGAGCTGCAGTGGAAATAATTCAAGCGTTTAGCACCTATGCACCGACGTCCGAGGGCAGGAAGCAGCCAGAAGCCTGGATCGAACATCGTGCCGGCGCTCAGGAAATCCACGAACCTTTCGCCGATGGCTTTTTTTCGCTCGCCCCGCCAATGTACTTGAACCAGGTGGAGGAGCGTGCAGATCTGAAGGTTCCAGTTTTAGGGTTGGAGTGTAACATGGGACCTAACCACCCGTTTGCATATCGCTCTAATCTCGCCTACACTTATGGTACGCTCTCCCCAAAAGGCAGGCCCCTATTCGATAAGGAGCGTGTTAACCTAGAGACAGATGGTTTTGAGAACCTAGGTCACACAGATAATGACGCCTCAACATACACTCATGATAACAACAGTGGAGTTCATGAAAATAATGGACTTCTTGCTTCATTTAGTGATGACTATCGCCAAACTGGGGGATTTTTCTACATTGCCGATTATGCAATTCTCATTGACTACAGCCTCATAGATGGTGTTGTGGAGCAAGTCTGGTTGAGTCCAAAGCACGTTCATGGCACTGTTTCCGGTGCGTATCCCGAAGGATTTACACGGTATGGCAACAGCTCACAAATAAATGCGCGTCCGACGAAGCGTGTTTCCCGATATATGAAAGAAGGGGTTGGGAAGGTGGTTGGAGATCAGGAACGATACCAAGGAACGCTTAAGGATTTAGAAAAGAGGAACTAGACGTGAGCGGATTGCTCGGCTCATACTATACCATGCTGGGAAGTTTGTCTGGAAACTTGACCAGATCGATCTAATCAGCTCATCCAAATCGGATTCCTTTCCTCCTATTTCCCTAACCCCTCCCCCGGGTAACAAGTATCCCTAACAAGCCGAGCGGAATGGAAGGAGGAAAGGGAAGAAAGCCAAAACAGAGCCGATAAATATCACCGAATCGTTTCCACTTCTCTTGATGGTGGTGGTGGGCTTGCACAGTGCGCGATCGGTTCGGGGGGTAGAGAAGTGTGTTGTCTCGTGTCTATGGGGTGGTTAGCTAACTGAGTGTTATATTGGCAGGAAGACACCACAGGGGTAACCCTTCGCACTCTCTGCCTGCGCTCGCCGGCACTCTACATGTGTGTACCTTCCCTCATGTATTCCCATACATGTCTCTACACGCCCGTGCTCCTACTGCTCTCTGCGCTCCTAATGACTGCAACACTACTGGGATTATCATACCATCACCCTCGAGGTCTCGAGGGACCTATGCTGGATCTCCTAAGGGGTTCTCCCCCGATCTCCATGCCCCCGACTGTGCCTCCTTGATCGTGTTCAGACACCCTCACTTCTAGATTCCCGATATCTCATCCGCTGCCCATCCGTTAGCGATCAGTAAGGCCACCGTGTAATCTCTCTCACATTGGACCTCTGACCCAGAACGCGAGTGGAAGGAGCACATTCCCGGAAAACTTTGCCGAATTAATCTTACCCTATAAGCATAAACTCACGTCTCAGTCAAAACCACAGGCCTCTCCGGCGCTCCATCACTGGGACGACTAAACTAAAGTCGACCTTTGGAAGCCCGGAGTAAGGGGCTTGGTTGATTCACGAGGTCGGCAACTAAAGTGATATGTTTGGCTGTGTGGACAAGATCTTGGATAGGTCATGTATTCTAGAGATAGTTTAAGGCTGCAAGGCACCTACTCATTAGCAAGGATATAATCGAAGAGTGCTGCAATATCCGTGACAAGGACCTCGTTCATGTCAGACTTTTAGGTTGGGCTTCACGGGTCTTTGGTTGTATGGATATGTGCGTTCAGTGCGGTGTTTGAAGGCGAATTACTGGCATTTGCAGTATACAAATAGTAGGAAGTGGAATGGGGATTCAAATATTCAATTTTATTCTAAGAGAGCGGAATAGAGCCCTTGGTGGAATGGAAGTGGGTAGCGCAGTCGATCGATTGAATAGACTAGAGAAATGCATGACCATTTAACGACTCCTTCCACCCTTCCAGTGCGGAGACGAACACATGCACTCATGACACAGCATCCAAAGGACCAAGCACGTCTGCTAAATAGAATCTGAATACGGCAACAAAACAAAGAGGGCTAGAAAGCCTTATCCGATACGGGAGGTCAAGATTGTACGTAATATGGAAGGCCGAGGCATAATGACATCAAGTGTCGGGACCGAATGCGTCCGGACCGATTGCATTCCGATCAATCCGAACGCGTGAGCACAAATAACATTCGACATTATCGTCTATGAGGAGGGCGAGGGCTGGTGGGTGGTGGGTGGCCTGTCACTTGGAAGATGGATTTATTTTTGAATGGAGTCCAAGACTGGGGAGTACGACACCACCGCGCACCCCGCGCCGCCACCCCGGGGATGTATTTTCACACGAGGCAGGAGTTTTTTCGCAGGTTTGTCTAAGTTAGCTGTTTACCACCATAGCCTCCCCTATTGGTACTTGCGCTTGCACCTACCGGGTGTTGAAGATGACGGTCAGCACATATACAAAAACCGACCGGTCCCAGCAGCCGAGTTTTTGGAGGAAGCTCGGTATATAACTATAATGAACGGGAGTAAGGATATAACTTGCTTGTTTAGGGGAAAGGTCGCGGATTTGAGAAATAAACATCAGGAGTGTCGGATTGCCTAACTTACGGACATGTGAGTATTTTGTTGTTGTTTTCCCTTTTAACTTATACGTGGATCTGCGAAGACGATAGCGACAGCGAAATGGCGAAATGGCGAAACGCCAAGATCTCAAACGAAACGATCGCACAACTCAGGAGCGGGGAAAAATTCTTCACTTCAGCTACCACGACAGCTAACTAGCGGTAAAGACAGGGGTAGGTACAACAACTATAGCAACCAAGTCCTCTCCTTCCAGGTATGTCTCCCTCTCGCTTGCAAACAAAAGCTCACAAGGAAAAGACAAACTCCCACTGTCCATAGCCTCCCGACATCTGACTTTCCGGCCTTCCCTACGGCCTTCCTACCCCCCCTCCCAACGGCCTTTCCGCTTTCCTTCCGATGGATGAATCTGTTGGCAGCATGTGGTGGCTATCCTGGTTGTTATAGGGCTGTGTTGTAGGGTTGGAGTGGACCAAGAGAGGAAGCTTAGCGTGTGTATCTAGCCTCTATCTCTGGAATTGCTGGAGACGATCAAGTCTTTCCTCCATCAACCGCGTCCATCCAACAGATTCGATCCAATAATTCCTGTGAATTCCTGCAGCCGAAGTGTGCTTTCCCGAAAGGCTAAACTGCGCCCGCAAGACAAAGAACATGCCCGAAGCCAAAACGCGCTCCTAGAAACTAGGCGAACAAACTATCGTGAGAGCATGCCGAGCAGCATCTCGCGATTTCTAACATCCCCTCACGCTCTATGCAACTTAGCTAGACACAGGATATCCAAGTTGTGCCCGCACGGTTTCTCTCAAACCCTATGCTGCTTGACATATATTTTTGATTGCTGGTCGTTTCACGCTCCCTGGTGTTTATCATGGTGTGTTTGATTTTGAGATTGCTATATGAGAGCTTGCTCGGCGATGCTGCTGTCGGTTATGGGCAGAGGCCTGCTAGGTTCCTAGAAAGCTGTTACCTCCTCCGGATAGGTTTTGTAGATGGGGTTTCTCCCATGTGTGTCCTGCGAACCGGGGAATAGGAGAGAGGGGATGATGCAGATGCAAAGCATTTCGAACCACTATCCCTAAAAAAAAACTCAGGATGCAGGGGATTTCGGTAAAATAAGTGATGAGCCGCTCCGGGCTTTGCACATAGCGCACATGCACATTTCGGTATCGATTTCGGGTCCTTAAAGTTAATGGTAGCTATACAATCGATTTCGTACGATATACGGTAGGAAAGCATAAAAATTGTCTCATTTTGGGGCAACTACCCCCTTAGATGTGTTTCCAAACAGCGCTCGAGGTTAGCTACCACCTCCCTATAAAATATGTCTTGTAACTCTTTCTTTGAAAGATCGTCCTCATAAATTCCGAAATCACAGTAAAGGCATCTCCTGACAACCTGAGCGAACCTGAGACCCATCTTTCTCTCCAACAATCCCGTTTTTAAGATATCCATTGCCTTCAGATACTCTGCAATAAAGTCCGCCTTTTCCGGAATCGTAGCTCGGCTTGGAATCTTCCATAGCCGCTTTCCAAAACCGATTTCGATAAGGGTGAGTGCTAGGCTGAACAGCTGTTCAGATCTTGCAGGAGATGCAATAGCTTCGTCATTGCCATCGGCTTCGTCTTCAATACTATTTGGTGCTTTGTCGAAGATCGGGATTACATAGGGTTCGCCGACAGTATCGGTGGGGAGAGGAGTTTGGAGTGCTTGAAAGAAGAAGAAGATATCACGGCTTCGCCACCGCTCTTGGAAGAAAGATCTTGAAAAGGAGCCAAGATGAAGCAGTGACTTTGAAAGCGTTAGGCTAATTCGTAGGCGGTCGTCTTGGAGAAGGGCCATCTCATCAAGTATTGTTTCTAAAGATTTGCGGTAGGGGGTTCTTAAAACGCTTGGTTGATCGCAATATATAAAGTGGCGGCGGACCGTATCACAACTTTTAATCAGGCCGAGACAGTGGTTGGTCGGGCTTTTTGGGGCAAGCTTTTGCATTAGGAGGCACAGACTATCAATCTCTGCTACACTGTTTGGTGGTATTGAGGCCCCGGGGGCTGTAGATTCCGCCGGAATTTTTGACAGCGGGGTAGCGATCGCCGCACCTCCCCGCCCAGCCGAGGCCCCACCCGGTACGGCCGGCTGAGAGCTGAACTCCAAAGTGACTAACCTCCCCGCCTCCGACCCGTGTTCCGGATTCGGGACTCGTCCGCCATCCGACTTTGTAGCGACAGCCCGAGATGAAGTTTGGATAACTTTATCAGCGGACTGCGCACACTTTTGCAGCAGTCCATCATCTTGTGATACGACCGTCACTGGGCGTCGCAATCCGCCTGTATCACTGTCCGCAGGTACAAGTTCTGAGGTAATCACCATACATGTTCCCGAGCAGGCTTCAATTGGCCGAGAAAAGGGGCCATCGTACCCCTCCTCCTTGGTAACAATTAAACGAAACTTTGTACTGCGGATGACAGCTGGTAGACCACCGTTCGTTCGTACAATGGGTGACCCTGGTTTTGGATCTGATATTGGCTCTGGTGTCCCGTCAACATCAAACTGGAGTCGGAGATTGACGCGGTGACAGAAGCAAGTGGACACTCCCGCAAGGCTGTCGTAAAGTGTTTTTGACACTTCCCGGATGGCAAGCAATCGAGCTAGCAACAGGTCTGGGTCCCTGTAGCTTTTCAGTTCCCGGAACTTTGGTTTCGGAGTCCTTTGCAATGCTTCTCTTTGGTCGTATATGTGTTTGAGGTCCTGATTCTGTTCCCGAAGCGTATTGATTAAGGCCTGAAGGTCCCCCTTCCTCTTCAAACCCCAACCAAACTTCCGAATTTTCCTATCTACAGCAGATCGTGAGGACTAAACCAAGGTGATTAGTTCCCAGCTGTTGCACAACATCTAGGCTAGAGTCATGATATTATTATAACGGTCATATCAACTTAAATCCACACACCTTAATAAATGAACCCTGCTTAGTACTCTTCTGACACTGCTGAACACTAGATAATATTTCCTCAATCTCCTTAAGAGTATCTTGTGTGACTTTCACACCAGCATCGAAGTGACTACCGATAGTCTCAGTCCACAATTTTAGGAAATCCGGATCCTTCCACTGCGGGTGGTTTTCATCCTCGAGCATAACAGCAGCAAGATCCTTCTCTACCTTGACAAGCGACAACGTCAGAGTCCATGTGTCCGCATACAGCCCTTTTTGAGTAGCAATGCTATGACAGCATCCTATCAAGCCTTTCTCGTAATTCCGGATATCTAATATAAGCTGGCTACAATTTTTATAGAGCTTATAAGTTGGTCCGGCCTGTGATAGTTAGCATAGATAGGCATAGCCGGAAGAAGCACCCTGGCAATACTAACTAACGCGAGAGCCCCTAGGACAACACCAGCAATTTCCAGGGGCATGCCTTTTGTTTTGTCTCTGATTGTTTAGGGGGTATTGAAAACTTGAGTAGTAAGGAGAGATGGTGAGAACTGGGGCCTTTGTTGTGGGGCGTGGGTCTTCAGGAATTTGTTTCGGATGATGTGAAAAGTAGCGCCTTGTCCCATATTACTAACATTAGGAAGCAGTGTCTGCATGGGGTTTCTTTTTTTTTTTTGCTTTTTTCTTTAACTTATGGCACTGTTGTTGCCTGCCCCGATTCCTGAACACCGCCTCGATACCCTCTCAACACCTGGCCTAGTTCTCATTCAGAAGTTGCGACTAAGTTTTACGAAAGGAGACAAGCGAAAGACGTACAGAGAACTCACAGATTTGGATATGGGTCAAGGTCTTAAAGCAACAGACACTGCTGTTGGCTCTAGGGAGGCTACTTTGTCAACTCCAGAAGGACACATCGTTCGCGATCTCTACAACTTTTGCCAAGGCACTATCGGAGCGATTTTTTCTACGTTTAACGATAAGGACCTTGCGAATCAGGAGTGGCGAGAGCTGAGAGGTAGGCTTAATACCTGGGAGGATGGATTCTCTGTTATGGAAGGCGAGCTTGACCAGGTGTTCATCAAAACCCGAGATAAACACCTACGAGAGGCAACTTGCATTGTACTTTGTGGCCTTGCTAGATCATTGTCAGCGTGTACGTTACTTCTCAAGTCTCCAGAATATGCAAGACATCTCCAGCTGATACCGGCAAGACATGAACTCGGTCGGCGCCCAGTGGTCTCCAGGGGAAAATTTGGCCGATATGACAGACACCCTAATCGCATTGATGCCAACGACAAAAGATTTTCTTGAGGTTGCCTACGATAGTTCCGCCAGCGAAACTAAAGACTTGATCCAAGATATCGAGCACTCTGTTGAATCATTATACGATCTTCTTCCGTCTACAGAGCACCTGTTTCTATCACAACAAGATCAACTTCCCGAAGCGTTCAGTCAACGTCTTACCAGCACAAAAACAGACATTCCTAGAAGGGAACTAGGAGAAAGAGTAGGCATCTATCGCACAAACATCCAAGACAAATTCCCGGACATCTCTGATGACCTTGCGTTATGCCTTGCTGAAGTGAATTGGAAGCGCCAGGTGAGGATACGAAACATGAAGCAGCCAGAGCCAGGCTCTCCGACAGCAAATCCTGAAGCTCCGATTGAACCCTCAACCATTGGGAAAGGCTCGGGAGTAGGATCATCAATTCGGACCGAAGATGTGTCAAGATTGGACAATGACGGAATCTCCGATTCCAGGTCTGAAGCTTCTACAACATCAAGAAGTGCTATTCCTCAAACCGTCGTAAGAGCGGCAAGAATTCCTAGACCACCAATAGAAAAACTATCTTCAGAGATTTCTTTCAATTGCCCTATATGCTTTAAGCAACTGAAGGGTATAAGATCAGAAAGAATGTGGGAGTTAGTATTCCTATCCATATAATATACTGACGCCTGGCTAACAATCCAGGGAACATCTATTGAAAGATCTCCAGCCATATAGCTGCTCGTTCAGTAGCTGCCCCGAACGAAATGTCACCTTTCATTCTGAGGGTCTCTGGGTTGCACACGAATTTCAGCACCACCGCCCTCAAAGAGTTACATTGTATACTTGCAAAAAGCCTTGCAAACAGAAGTTCAGGGAAAAATGTGATATGGTGCATCACGTTATTAATGACCACTTAGATGGGTCTGTTTCTGAGTCCGATGTTGCGGAACTTGTGGATCTGTTGAAGATCAAAGTGGTGTCTCAGAAAACAAAGTGTCCGTTCTGTTTAGACGAGATTGCAGAGACAAAGGCTTCGGTCCGGAGTCATATTGGCGCTCATCTTCTTGAGATTGCCTTACGGGTGCTTCCAGATATGGACGGATCGAGTGACACCTGCGGCAGACCGGCTGACTCTCACAACGCTGACATCCTCGGTGAGGAGGGAGAGATTCGTTCAGGAATTTCCAATTTAAATCCTTTCACTACTACTGTCCATGGAGGTCCAGTACGGTGCCTAGTGGAAGGCTGCAAACACTCGACTGCACTATTTCCAAGCGAATTGGAGTACCGGCGCCATGCTCTGGGTCATGAAAACTGCAAAATTACCTGCCCTTTTCCCCACCCGGACCCTTCATCCCAATGTACCTTCCTTGACTTTGGTAGCTTCATGGATCACCTCAGAAAGGGGGGCTCTCCTGGGCACCATAATGCAGGGTCACTTTCCAGCTGCAAATTTTGCTACGACGGGACCCTTTTCCCACCAGACGATCTTTACAACCACCTAAGGGACTGTGATTTTTCCTACATTTCTGGAGAATTAGAGACTCCGCAATACGTCGGCCAATCCCCCAGACCCGGCAGTGTGGCGGCAGGTTTTCGCTCACCGCTCGATAAACAGGTTAAGAAAGATAGTAAGGATAACGTATCCGCGACAACAGATACTATAGAGAGCTGGAGGGAGTTCTCCCACATAGACGGTGATGAGATATGCATTCCTGAAGTACCTTGCGCAGAAACAAAGGGCCCGACAGAAGAGGGGGAACCCGGAACACCTCCGCCAGAGCCAGACCCACGAGTAAGGGAGATTTTTGAGCCATTTGTGAGTTCATTTGAGGAAAAAATAGGGACAGGCTCTAACCGAAGATGAATAGGGGTATCAGACTCAGAAAGGCCTCCTTCCCCAGAATGACGCCCCTCCGAAACTCCAAGTTCAAGATATTGGCAATCAGTCAGTATTGACCCCGCCAGGTGATGCGGTCTACGGGCTATCAAGCACCCTAACAAGTGCCAACAGCCTGGCTATTGTGCCGCAAGACCAAGGAAAGTGCAATGAATCAGAGACGATGCATCGGCGCGCACTGGAGGGGCATGAGAAGATTCTTGGACCAGACCACTCACACACCCTAACCAGTGTCAACAACCTAGCTGCTACACTAAAATCCCAAGGAAAATACAATGAATTAGAGACGATGAGTCGGCGTGCACTGGAGGAGTGTGAGAAGATTCTTGGACTAGACCACCCACAGACCCTAACCGGTGTCAACAACCTGGCTGTTGTGCTGCAATCCCAAGGAAAATATCATGAATCAGAGGGGATGAGTCGGCGTGCGCTGGAGGGGGATGAGAAAAATTCCGGGCCAGACCACCCAGACACTCTAACCAGTGTCAACAACCTGGCTGTTTTGCTGCAATCCCAAGGGAAATACAATGAATCAGAGATGATGAGTCGGCGTTCATTGGAGGGGCATGAGAAGATTCTTGGATCAGACCACCCACACACCCTAACCAGTGTCAGCAACCTGGCTGTTGCACTGAAATCCCAAGGAAAATACAAT